GCTCCGGCGATCCTTCCGCCTCAGCCTTCCAAGTAGCTGGAATTACAGACACGCGCTACCACGCCCGGCTGATTTTTTGATTTATTGTAGAGATGAGGTCTCGCGGCCCAGGCGGGTCTCGAACCCATGGGCTCAGGCAATCCACTCACCTCAGCCTCCCAAGGTGCGGGATTACAGGCTGAGCCACCGAGCCTGGCTACTTTTTACATTTTTAATGGTTGAAAAGAAATACTTCATGACAGGTGCAAATTATATGGAATTCAAATTTTGGTGTACATAATACTGGGTGACAGCCACACTCATTTAATTACGTATTGTCTGTGGTGACTTTCATTCTAATTGTGACAGAGACCACATGACCTGCAAAGCCTAAAATACTCTCTTTACAGAAAAAGTGTGCCAACCTCTGACTGAAAGGATTCACTTCGACAGACACAGTGTACCATGTTAAAGGTGTCATTGCCACGTATGGCTTAGCTGAAAACGGCTGATGTTCAATGGTCGTGCCCCATGTCAAAACACCCCCCAAGAGCATAAGAGAGCTGTGCTCCAAATACGCACCTAGTGTCTTTGGTGCAGTGGGCGGCTGTGAGCACCCACCTCTCTCTCACGAGGCTTCCCCCACATATATGAGCAAGAACACGGCCACGCTTGACTTGCAGGCTGACCACCCAAGGCCACGCGCCAACCTGAGCCTCTCTGCCCCCGATGATCCGAGACCCTTTCAGCATGTCCCTAAGCGGGGCTGTTCCACAATCTAAAAATAAAAACGATATATTATTTGGACTGCGCACCTATATAATGTATCACTTCCTAATCTGAACACATTAATATAATCCTTTAAATTCCTATTTAAAAAGCTGGTAAGGCAGGCTAGACGCCTGAGGCATGCCCGCCTCAAATATACCAGAACTGGTCACTTTCAAGTAGAAAGACATGAAATCAACACAATTCATTAACTTAAAAATCCTATTCCCCAAAAGTATAAAAATGAGAGCAGCTCCTCTGGCCATTCATTTAAAAGAGTCCCCTCCTGCTCTGGAAGCTTCTCTGTTCTCTCAATAAATCCTGCTTTCCAAAAGAACCCCCAAAACTCTACTTCTCAACAGTATACAAACGAGATAACTCCTCTGGCCAGGTATCACGTTCTTCCCTGTGTAAGACAGCGACCGAAGAGCCTGGGATCTTGCCATTTAACTTGGGCCAGCGTTTGCCACCTGCAGTGTGACAAGGTCACCGAACGGCCCTTCCGTCGCTGCATCCCAGTGACTTACGAATCTGCCAAATGGGAACGCTCAGCCCCCGCATGTTCCGAGGAGCGGACAGAGGCGCTGCTCAAGTGCGCGACACTTTCCCGGTGACCACCGCCACCGTCCCCAGAGCGGGTCTAGAAATCGCCTAGACCTGCACGGTCGGGGCGGAAGGCGGTTGGAACACGGAAGGGGGGACCCGAACTCGAGCCCGGCGGGCTTGGGGCGGCGAGGAGGCC